TTTAAATTGAGAATAAAATCAAATATGGAAAAGCATTTCTTATCTTGACAAATGAAATTAAGAGGATTCTGGAAATAATATATTTAAAAAACTAACAATACAATCTTCCTTCCTTCCTTCCTTCCTTCCTTCCTTCCTTCTATAATTCTGAACAACTGTGGACATACACATTTCTTCTCCCAGCAATTTCCTTTATGAATTTTTAGACATGTTTTCTTGGGCCTGTCTGATAGAACTGCATGATTCCAGGAAAATATATGTCTGTTTTAAGGAGGTATTGACAGGTGTGGCACTGGTGTCCACAACTGTTTTGAATCACAATTTCCCCCTCAGAGCTGCTTCTCTATGTAACCCTAAAATGATTTTTTTTTGCCTTTTATCCCCATGTATAGCAAAAAGAGATAAGTTTTTTGCCGCAGGTAATGATTTAAATATTACGTGTTTAGATCACAGGAAGATATATTCCCTTAGGGATGTTTAACATGTGGTCTAATATATTGTCTAGTAACTGTAAGCTAATTGTTTAATTAAACAGACAACCAAGGGGAAGGGATCACATGTGCCAAGATTGCTTTTAATATCTGGATTAAAATGGCAGCTGTTCCAAAATCTGGCACTTTGAAGAGAAGCTCCTCTTCAATTAATTGCATTAGTTTTCCATTCATTTCATTAGTCAAAACTGAAAAAAAAAAGTTTCACACATCCCTAAGACTTAAATTATTGATCAGATGCATGATAATGGCATTTTGTCCAGACCGGAGCTACAGGAACCAAAGTTATATAGTACAAGCATAGGAACGTTGGGGTGGCAATTGTACAGACTTATTGTTTTTCAAATACATTTGAAAAATTAAGATATTTTGCATGTAAAACTAGAGGTAAATGTATACTTATTGGTCCGCAAATAAATTTTTGACAATTTTGGGAATCAAATATAATAGATCTTTTGTTCCAGTGAATCTCAGGATTATAAGTATGTGACCAATCCTTTCTAACAGAAGGGGAACATATTTGGAAGAAGTTAAATAGGATTGTATAGTCCTCTGTTGAGTGTCAGTATAAGACAAAGGTAAGGGCCAACTTAAAAAGTCTTCCATCCTTGGATATTCACTACTTTGAATAATTCAAGGAGAATCTTTGCACTATAGTATTACCTATAATTGTAGCTCCAAAATCTAACAAAACAGGAGGATGAACAGCTTGCGACTCTGGCAAGCTTATAGTTAGATGGAAGCATAAAAAAGAAAGGAACTTAAAGCAAAGCAAAGCACAGCAAACATCCATAATCTAAAAAAAAAAAAAAAAAAAAAACAGAATAATTGAAGCCACACAGATATTTTTCATTATGGCTGGTTTCATCTCATAATTTGGATCAGTGTCTGGGAAAATAGTTATGGTCTCAGGGCTTTCGAAAGACCAGTAGGTTCAGCGAATGGTGTTCCATCAATGGTGATATGAAAGAGAAGGCACTCTTTTCTGCATCCTGTTAGGTGTCCTTTTTTTTTTTGTAAAAGCAATCTGAAGCATGTTCTACCCTGCCAGATCTCATGAGATGAGCAGAGATAATTGGAGACAGCTGGTCCCACAAATAATTTAGCCATGTGCCATGTATTTCTCCCAGATGTCTGTAGAAAGCAATACAACTACAAATATATTGTAGGACTGTGGAAATCTACCTCATGGCAGCAATTCTTATTCTTTGCAATTTCCCTTATGTGATTACTTTGTGAAATTAATCCTAAGATTAGAATAGCTTGATTAAGTTTGTTGAAGAGATTAGGCACCGTGACTGAACCATGGCTTCATTGAAAATATTTTGGGGAGACTACTGTTATATTTTTAATAAAAAAAAAAATTCGAATGCAAACCTGGATGATTTTCTTTTTGCAGACTGAGTACTACTAAATGCAATCTTATTATGAATATTATGTTTGGAGTCATTCACTGTGGGTTCAAGTATTAAATAGGTTTTTTTAAAAATTCTAAAATTAGACACCTTATGAGCAGCAAACAATTCATCAGCCAGACAATAATTTTAGTTGCTGGATATTTTCTTGAGTCCTTTTAGCATCTAGCACTGGAAAAGAGCTTCAAATTTGCCACACTAAAAATATAAAATTCATAATTAATTAGAATTACTTTTTAGTAATTACTATCTTGGTAGGACATTAAATTAGAAAAAATTATATAAATACTTTTATAAAATTAATGCTGAATATAAATGCAAACCATCATGAAATATTTTGGTTTTTATACCTTCAATGTGTCTTGATGATTTTGCACTAAAAAAAGTAGGGGTTCTCTTAGAATTGAAATCTGTCACAAATAGAACTTTGAAATGTATCATCTGTAGGTTTTATTTCAGTTAAATATATGAGGATGAAAAGCTTAACATTTCACAGCACCTGTTTCCTGTTTCTTAAGATTTTTGCAGTATTTGTTGCCAAATTATCTTCAGTCTGAGAACATTTTGGGTTTGTAAGAGTCAGATTGCACTCATATTTGCATTTGAACTTGCTTTAGGCAATTGCCTGACTATATTAAGAATATTTTTAATGAACATTACTAATACAAATGCACTTGGCATTCAAATTAATGTACACCCTGAACTCATCCATTCAGCCCCAGAGAATGTGTTGACTTTCCATCCTTGAAGTAAATATTTCATTTTTCTCCTCAAAACCATTTCCCCTTTTACTGTCATTCTCTTTCTGTATCTCCTGGAATGAAGCCCTCATGTGGCTAGCATTGCTGCTTATGCTTTCATGTCAGAACTCCTGAAGTACTTCTGGGTCACCATTGCCATTTTCCAGGGGATGACCTGTTGAGGGTCCTTTCATGTCCCCATTAATTGCCCACCAAAGTGGTACCTATTTATTTATTATCCTGTTGGTGGGCAGGATCTGGAGCGAATGATAGGAGCTCACTCCATCACACAACATCACTTAGGTTTCGAATGCAGGCTTGCTGATTGTCACACGACAATCAGCAATTTTAACCACTTGAGCCACTGTGCTGTACCATGGAGCTAGCACTTACATGCTGCTGCTGTTGAAGAGTGAAGAGGGTGGAAGGAGAGGATTTTTATCATTCTCTCTTGCTTACCTTCCCATCCCACCATTCGCCAACAGCAGTGCCCCTCCTTCCCATCTGTTCTCACCCTTGTTGCACCTCCCTTATTTCTGTGCTTTTTTGAAGTATTCATGATTGACCTCAGTGTACAAATGGCTCGCTCCATACTTGCCCTTTCTTTTAGCTCTTACAAAGTCAGACAATAAAATTAGCATAAGGAAAAGTTAAATTAATTAATGCATTCTCAGCTCAGTAATGTGCATGTTTGCAAATAGTATGACTTGGTAAATAGATACTTATTATCAAGTACAGAAAAAACAATCTAAATAATCTCATCCCTTGGCTCTGGTTTATTTTATTCCTCATTAGGTTTCAGTCCTGATTCATAGTTTTATCTATGCATCATTATTTGTTCAGTTTCAGTATCACCCAAATCCAACTGGTTGGCTTATTTGTTCTTGAATTTTTTTTTTTTTAGTGAAGCATTATATTGCATCAAATTGTCATTCTTAGGTCTCATGTTTATAAACCTCCAAATGATCCTCTTGTTTTCAGTGAATATTCTTTTGTTTCAGTTCCATTTCTTTATAAAATTAATCAATTACAACTTGACTACAACATTTTGCTTTCTTCTTTATCTCAGTTCGAAGTACAAGAAAGTGCAGTTTCAGATCATTCTAATTAACTAGGGCCCACTACTTCCTCTTAGTTGTAGCTTAATTGTACCTTCTATTCATTTAATGACTGAATCTTACTGATTAATTCCTAACTGATATTATTATGGTTTTTCAGACTGTGTCTGTTGTTTTAATGATCCTTTGTTTTGGATCATTCTCCTACAAAGTTAGAGAAGATAATTAGCACTTCTTATAGTAGACAAGCAATCAGTAAAATATCAGATGAATTTTAACTACGTTCTTCAAGTTCTATCTTGTTGGCATGGCTGCTCTTTTAAATTTTCTGAATTTCCCTCATATGTTTGATAATGTTCCCCAGTCTGCATCAACAAAAATATGCTGCTTTATGGATTGTATTTTTTGTATTTATCCTATTGTGTATTTATTTTGATATTTATTTTGCTCCTCCAGTAAGATCCTCATGTTTATGTTGTTCATAGTAGATGTTGACAATAAACAGAGTGTAGAAAACTGCATTGTTCTGCACCAGTCCATTTCTTCTGTAAATCCAAATTTTTCTATTTGTCTGTTTTTTAAATTGTAGACACTAACAGAAAATCCTGCATCCTTTCTTAAAGTTGCATTTTGCATCTCTTGCAAATTGTTCTTATTAACCTGGTTTTTGCTACAGTCGTTAGCTTTGCTTTTGCAGAACTGTCTAAAGTTTTCCATATCTTCTTTGAAAGTCCAGAATTCAGCCTTAAATGTCAAGCAGCATAGTTTGCTTATTTGTTATTTCAATTTCAACTTGAGTTCGATTTTAAAATTCAACAAAAGTATGTAGGTAGGTAGTAGGTAGTAGAATTCCATAATGTGAATGCCATGGTAGAAAAAGCCTTAGGCCCTAGAGCAGGGGTGTCAAATTTGCTGCGTGACATATTGTGACTTTTCCCCCTTGATGGAGCTGGGGTGGGCATGGCTTCCACTTGATGCATCCGGCCTGCGGGCCGACAGTTTAACACCCCTGCCCTAAAGCTTCCCAGATGTAGCTTTCCAGATGGCAGAACCCATAATATACACACTCTGTTGAGTCTGGTAGGATAGGATGATATTGGGAAGAAAAAGACCTTCCAATAACTCCTCCAACAATCCAATAATCTCATGTCATGTAGAGTTTATAGTTAAATTTTAATGTCTTAACACGGAATATTCTTCATCAATCTATAATTTTTGATAGTACATTTAATACACATTTTTAATTCTTCACTGTTTCTCTGGCAAATAAAATGTTTTTGTATTCATATTTTAACAGATTAAGGATTTTTTGTGGACAAATAAGTGTACATTTGAGGCTGGACAACAAGTAACCTCATAGTCAGAGATGTTATTCCCATGGAAACAGATGTTTCTGCTTTTCTCTGTTGGCTGCTTTGGAGGTAAGGATATGTGCTAATAACGTTTCTGCCAGAGCTCCCGATTACCAGGTTTTTCTGCATTCTCCTTTCATAACTGCTATTAACACACATAACCCTTTCAAAATGTATGTCTGAAATATGACCCATGGGTGTTCTTTTTACACCAAACCCTATTTTGTATTGAAACCCAAATTTTAAGAAAATATGCTTCAAAAACCACTGATTTTAGTGAAGTTTGGAAGTCCAGGAATCTCTACTTTCATTTTTTTAAATTGCATATGCATTAACAATACTCAAGTTTTTACTTATTTGAAACTCTGAAAAGCTGAGCAACTTTCAGATAGCTTGCCTTTTCACAATTACTAGTATAAAATGATTATTCATCTGATAGAAGATTGTTTTTAATATTATATGTAAGTATTTAATATGAGAGGCGTAAATGGTCATTGCTGGTTTTTATATTTCCATATATGAAAATTGAGACATCTGCTAACAGTTTACTGCCAATCAAAATATGCACCTCATTCTCTTTTTCCTATCATTCCATTTAAAAATGTTTAATTATAGTTTTATACTATTACTTATGTTATTCAGGACAGTTTATTGTAAACTAAGTTCATTCTAACTTTATACTTTACTTCACAAAAATGTTTCCGATATTAGAATGAACCAAGTGAAGGAATAATTTAAATAAATTCCCTATCAAAGCTGAAGAAACCTTCCTCTTGAGGCTAATTATCTTGTATATTTGCCAGTAGGTTTTGCATGTTCTAACCATCAGTTGCTCTTTCCTGTCATGTTTTTTATCCCAAAAGAAGGACAAAGCTCTGATAGTAATTTTGAATATCTTGAAAGTCCTGAAGTTTTTGGAGATCAAACTATAAGAGCAAAACTGACTTTGAAAAGCAGACTGTTTAAAAGCTGGAAGACATGATTGTAATGCAGCTCTGATTTTTAAAAATATATTCTTGATACACTGCAATTTGAATACACACTAAAAGCGGGCATTTGGGTCCTTCCAAATAAACAAAGCCATCTAATAGGATCTCCATCTGAAATAAATCTTCCTTGTTGCAGTCCTGGCCCTCTTGAATAGTATCCCTTCAGAAATACATATGACTGCCACTATGAAGGTGTTCTGAAAGTCTTTGAAAACTAAGCACATTCTCCAAGGCTTAGGGAGTGAGGCAAGAGTGATTGTTGAACTTCTGTTGTTATTTTGCAGAGGAGTGGGGGTTTCACTGATGGTTTTTCTCTTTTGCCTTATTCTCATAGTACAGTGTAAGTCACCCAGAGTCACACGGTTTAGGAAACTTCTAAATTTAATAGCATAAATAAAATGTCTTTCTGTCTTCTTCTGTAATAGATATAATTTCATAAGTCTGTTTTCTTGTAGCTCTTTTAAAAATTAACAAACTTGGTTTAATGACTATGTTGTCAAGACTTTCACCTATATTCCGCTTCACTGGCAGCTTGACAAAGAAAAGGGAGAAGGTGGGATGGAATGCAAGGGTGGGAGGGAATTGCAGCTGGGACAATGCTTCAAACCAAGGACACTTCGAGCTGTTGGATTAGCGTGGCCCCCTCGTTCCCATAACAATAGGGACAGAAGTGATTGGTGGATGTAATGGACTGTGGGTGGCCCATAGGGAAAGGGGGGAAATTAACTATGCTAGCTTTTGCACAGGAAACCCAGGGCTGATTTTGCTTTGTCTGTGCCAATATGGTTTATTCAGTAAAGTTTATACTCTTGGTAAAATGATGTCCCAGGAGTTTCCTTTTTGGGGATCCATCAACCGGACAGTTGATATATTGAATGTCTCTGTGATGAAGATATTTCTTATGAAGTACTCAAATGAAGAAAGAAACATGTTTATAGATAATAGTAGAAAACTGATAATAGTCTTTATGCCAAATCTTAGCTGATATCATAAAACAACAGTTTGTAATTCTGTAAAAAAAAATGTTAAAATATATTCTGGCTTTCTTAAAAGAATAATCTGCTTGAGGTCTTTATGTCATTTAAAAGATTAAACATTATAGGAGATTTTGCATCTTCTATTTTTTAGATGCTCCTTCTATCTAAAAAGGAAATGGAAACCCTGATACATTTGAATTTTTATATTGTTAAACATCCATACTGAAGGTATATTATTGCATCATAGCCATTGATAGAACATTTCTATATTGACTAGGAATGTTCCAGGAATCTAAACTGAAAGAATCAAAGAGGCAAGGCAAAAGTGAATACCATTTGAAAGATGTTCTCCCTGTGCTTTTTCCATCTTACTGCTTGCAACTCTCCATATTTTATGGGTTACGAGATGACCTTATTCTAGTAGGTCATGCTTAGGTCCTTCTCAAATATGAGTACTCACATAGGGACCTATGCTTAATTCAATACAGGATTAAAGGGATTCCCAATTTTCAGTTCTGAATTCTGAATGGTTGAACTCCTAAAGGTATGTTGTCTTGAAATAACCAAAGATTGAAAAATCCACATGTACTATGGAAATGATACAAAGATTGAATGGAGGCTTAGTTATTATTAGGATCCCAGAGTCAAAACAATTTAGTATGAAATTTTTATATTTGGAAATAGTGGCAATAATATAGATGATATCTTGTGAGTTAGGATACTAATTGTATAGAACACAAACTTATTTGGTAGGACAATCTTAGTAATACAGAAATTAAATTTTAAGAATTTCAGAAAAAGGTTGTGTGAATTTCTTAAATATTATAGGGTCTGTGAAGGTCTGGAATAACATGTACAAACCCACCTCACTGTGTTATCTGCTTATGTAGACTAGAACAGTGGCCTCCAATCTTTTGGGCACCAGGGACTGGTTCCGTGGAGAGAGGTTTTTCCATGGACTGCTGTGGGTGTGGTTTCTCATGCTGCCTGCATGCTATAGATGGAGGTTCACTTGTTTGCACAGCCCAGTTTCTGGCATGCCGTGACCCGGTGCCAGTCCATTGATTGGGGGCTTGGGACCCTTGGCCTAGAAGATAAAAATAAAATTCTAAATAAGTCAGTTTCAATGTATAACTTTTAAATGGAGATATAGACCCATATCTACCTTAATCCTGTTTAATGTTGTGTATATGCTGGGCTTATCAACCAAAAGGTCAGTAGTTTGAGACCTAAGTGCCACGTGATGGGGTGAGTTCCTGTTCTTTTCCCAGCTCCTGCCAATCTAGCATTTGAAAGCATGCAAATGCAAATAGATAAATAGGTACCACTTTGGTAGGAAAGTAACACGTTCTGTGCACCTTGGCATATAGTCATGCCAGCCACATGACCACAGAAGCGTCTTTGACAACACTACAGTAATGGCAAAAATTGTGGAAACCTTTTGGGAAAAGTGTATTTTTGAGGTTTGATGACTAATAACACCACTTTTTTGGGAGTAGTACCATAAAATTGGCAATAAGCCAATCAGATCACAGTAGGATTCAGTTACTGATGTCATGTATTGAAGCTGAGAGGAGGACATTTGTCAGTGTGTTACGTGATCACTATCAAATTGGTTGGGTTTTTTTGTGTTCTTTCCTTTAGCGAGCTTGTAAAACGTAATAAAATTAAAGTAATGGTGCAAAGAGTTGACTGGTTGCCCAGAAAGCGATGTAACATAGTATTATTAAGAGAACAAGGCTACGGTTTTAAAGAAATTAGAAGAAAAATTGGTGGAAACTTAACCAAAGGTGACATTTCTACTATACACTTTTCCCAAAAGGTTTCCACAATTTTGGTCACTACTATAGCTCCCTTGGCTAGGTAGGAAACAGAGAGGAGCACATTTCCTAGGGTCGGACACAACTGGACAGGTGAAACCTTTATCTTTACCTTACACGCACGTACACAGTTAATGTGGTTATAAAGTATAGTAGAGTAAAATCGTTAATAATAAATTCTCTTATTTTTTAGTATCTTTTTATAATTGTTTAACACTGAAAAGCTTTGCAAATAAAACATACACTTTGAAAGTAACAGCAGCTACTTTATTTTGTTTTCAGTTTTCAGTCCTCTTTAACATTGGAAACATTGCTAAATTATTATCTTCAGTTTAAAAATTGTTACTAGCTTTCTTGAAAATTTCAAATTTCTTGTACATTATACTTTCTAGCAACTTGAATAAAGACTCCAAAAATGGAACTAGGAGATTAATAAATTAGCTACTTTATATACCACACCAGGCATCATAAGAAAGGCTGAGTGACAAAGAATTGAGGCATTTGAACTATGGTGCTGGAGAAGATTCCTGCGAGTCCCCTGGACTGCAAGGCGATCAAACTGGTCAGTCCTAGAGGAGATCAACCCTGACTGCTCTTTAGAAGGCCAGATCCTGAAGTTGAAACTCAAATACTTTGGCCACCTAATGAGAAGGAAAGATTCACTGGAGAAGGGCCTAATGCTGGGAAAGATTGAGGGCAATAGAAGAATGGGACGACAGAGAATGAGGTGGCTGGATGGAGTCACTGAAGCAGTAGGCGTGAGCTTAAATGGACTCCAGAAGATGGTAGAGGACAGGAAGACCTGGAGGACCGTTGTCCATGGGGTCCCGATGGGTCAGACACGACTTTGCAATTAACAACAACAACAACAACAACAACAAATCAGTGACTGAGATATTCTTTCTGAGCATATTGTATAAAACTGTCCCTTTTCCACAGCTTCTCAAATTATTGGTTGGGTATCAGAGTAGTAATCATGCTTCAGTCTTAGAGCTGAATTAAAACAAGACAGATAAGACAATTGTGATTCAAATTGAAGAACAACTATAGGATTGAAAATTGAGTACAAAGTATAGTATGCTTTAAGAGAGTGTTCTATATAGTTTTTATGTTTGACTTGTGATTCAAAACAGCCGTGTTAACTTTTAAATTATAATTACCTTGTATATTTTATTGATCGATGTCATATAATTTACTTGTTTTCTACTTCTTTAAAACCTATATAGTAAGTTAAAGAGATAAGATCTAGCATATTTTGTAATCTGAAAGACACTGCAGAAAAT